AAAAAAAAAGGAAAAGAGAAAAAAAGAAAATAGATGCGCCGTAATTGCTGGCACAGTTCTGCACGTGTAGCTGTCCCGTGTATCGTAAATGGGAAAATTCGATTTAAAGTAGCGGGAGCAAGTAGCCCAAGTCGATATCGCTCCGACAACGAATTCGTGCGGGAGCCGGTATTGTCGCCCCCGAATTAATTCCCTAATTGGCACGAATTGTCTTGTTAGGAGCTACAGAATACGGCCAGCGAGATGGTTGCACGAGGGAAGTCCGGTAGATATGATTACAATCAACACGAGAACGGAGATGAGCGGCACTGGACATAGATATATCGGCGACTCTATCACGGCGGCGTTGCACATAGACAACGTGAGATTAGAAGACGACGGTATATGGGGTTGCACGCTTGAGGACGACCAGGGCAAGACACTTTCCGGCCGGCCTGTGAAACTCGTCGTTCTCGGTAAGTTACGATTATGAATATTGAACACGATATACAACACGGTTAATAGCATTGGCAAATATTGACGAAACGGTGTTATCGTACAACGGGGCGGAGTAGCTAGAAATTAATTATCGGGGATTAAGGTCAATGCTGTTTGCCGTATCTCTCGAGTTAAGGAAATCTTTGCATTCTCTGCGAGCGAGCGCGTGCGCGCATACGAGCGTATTCATTTCAAGGTGCAAGCTTCCCACTTGAATTATCGAGAATTATCAAAGTAAATTAAAAGATTTTACGTTCCGTCTCTATTTGAATTCTTGTCAACTTGAGAAGGCTGATTGATCTTAATTATTTCAACACTCATGGTTGTAAGGATGTTGAAATCTTGTATTAGGAAATAATATTCATCTATTAGAATCGGCGATATTGGAAAGGGTACGAATATTTCCGAGATTCGCTTTACGTGAAATAATTTTTGAGCGAGCCATGTGCGTGTACTCCTCCCTTCAAACACAGCCACCCTGGTGCCAAATTATTTCTTGCTTCCCACAAAATGCTACTACAAGTTGCAGAAATGCAAAGATTTTATGCAGATTAATCCCCGTCACTTGGGCCAGGACGAGAGCATCACGTCGCATGAATATGCATCTGTCGTAAACATTCCTCCCTTTCTTTCCCGTGTCTCTCGTTTCTACTACTTTTTTAATTCACTCCCTCCTCCCCCTTCTTTTTTATATCTCTTGGTTGACGGACGCATCAGCCGGCAACGACCACGCTCGTCTCCGCCGCAAAAGCGTACGTACACACGTCGAAACAATGGTACGCACAGGGTGAAACAATCGTTTGCGAGAGACCACCGCGCGCGACGCTTCAACCCTCTTCGCCGAGCCGCACGAATCACGTTTCAAATGAACCTGCCGCCACGCGGACGTCTCCGCCACCCTCCTTCACTGTCGACCACTTTTGTTTTTAATATCTCGCCGGTTGCTAGCGCGCGAAGGACAGCCTCTCCTTTATTTCCTGCTATCCGCTAGACGTTGGCCAACCCTCCTCGTCCGGCGCTTGCTGCTCCTTTCAGTTTCTGACCGTCGACGGGCTCTCGCCCCGTTTATTTGTCATCCGCGCACCGTCTCTCTCTCCCCCCGGCAATGTTTAATTTCGCGTGTCGCGCCGGTCCGCTTGGGTTTTCAACCGGTCGCCTTGGCTCGTCAACGATCTCGCAAAAAGGTGCCGCGGATTTATGCTGTGTTTCACGTTTCACGCTGTTTCGTTTCGAGCGTCTTTTCTCCTTTGATTTCGCAGGGAATTCTCGCCTCGTTCATTTCAAGCGATTGTCCTGGACATTCGGATGATTTGCGGAGGGATTTACAACCGGTGCATGGATTTCACACAGGACGAAATTTCGCGTTATTCTGGTTTTAATTGGTTGTTTCAGAAACTTCGCATGGAAGAATTCCCAATTCGCGTGTTTACAGAATTAATTGAGCATTTTTGAACTAAACAGCGAGCTATTTGCGCAGGGTCGATTAATACTTTGACTGATTAATTTCCTCTCGACTGTTCAAAATTCTCATTCCCCGTAACCAAAGCGTAATCGACGCATTAGACGTGCAATCCTCGCACGAAATTTTCGAGTATTCTCTACTTTCTGGACGAGGCAAACCCCTCTCTCGTGCATTTTTTTCTGAATGAAATAAGAGTACCACAATTGTAATTTCAATTCTTTAAATATAATTCAAGTACATAGGAAAGTCTCCGTATAAAATCTTAACGTGCTGCAAATTCCCGAGCGTGAGCGCGCGTAACGAGTCGAGATTCAGGTTAAAAGATTCCGCGGGAACGCCCAAGGAAAACAATTACCAGCGGCGATAACGAGTAAACGTTTCAATTTCTCTATTACCGTCGACAAAGCGAAGGCAATACAATTAAAATCGCATTAGAGCGGTAATTTTGCCGCGCGGAATATTCCAAGCTGGCAAACAAACCTTCGAACAAAGGAGAGGGGACCGAAATAGAAGCGCGTAAGCGCCGGATCAAAAGACGACCGATAACAGGGTTGTAATGACGGTCTCGTCGAGCCATAATCATCGATTCTCTACCGCTCTTTCGTGGAAATTCTAGCGACTCATCGCTGGTTGCGCGACGAAGAGAGGAGCACAGATTGGGAAGACGTTGGCTGGAAACGGTAACGTCGTTCTGTGTTTGATGGGGATAGATTTGCCGAGCGTGCGCGCACGCCTCAGGCTTCCTGTCGGCGAGAAAAAGTTAAGAATAATGCGCGTTTTATGCGGCTGCTTCGTCGAATTCGCCGTATTTCAGCCGACAGGAAGAACGACATCGCTGGTATTCTACGAATCGAAATTCTACTTCTCTTTAGTCACCCGTTACCCGTGACTATTTCACGACGAATTCGTTCAGCCGTGCTCGTTCGATAACAGACCTCTTTTTTTCGCATTCTTTGGCCTGATTAAATGACCGAATCGCGAGATAACGACCAACTTTTTCACATTTATCGTTCGACTCGCTTTTCTCTCAAGCTCGCTACACACTGTCATTAGTCGATTAGTCGATTGCTACCAACTTGAGATTACGCGTTGAAAAATAATTTTCCACGGCCTGCTTATTCTTTCTTCGAAGAAACTTCGTAATCATTCGACGCGATGACTGACAAATTTCGAGTCAGCAGCGACTAGTTGACTGTGCGTAACGAGCCTTACGTTTCGCCACGTTGCGCTGGGCACCTGCGCCCGTCTCTCCCGTCCATCGTCGACGGTTACAGTCTTCGACCTTTTTTTTCTTTCTCGTTGCTTGCTGTTCGAGCCGAAATTCAATTTGCCCTGGCTTGTTCTTTAGCCAGGACAGCGGAGACGAGAGGGTGCGCGTGTGTTGCGGGCAACGTCTGATCGTGACAACGGGCAGACCATCGCCGCTTAACGGTACTTGTTCCAATCGCAATCTTTCGATCCCCTCGACTTTCCTTTTAACCTCGCCCCCGATCTGTCGTTCTATCCTTCCCCCTCCGACCTCTTCATCACTCCTTCTGCTTCTCGTCTCTTTCCATTGCTCGGGCCGCGTTTCGCCTTCCGTTTCATCCGGCAACCTCGGTCCATAAGGCCGGCGAGACTGGTATAAGGTACAGAGAGAAATCTTGTTGTCCGATGCGAACGTGCGGGCATTCCACTGTCTGACCAATATCGGGGCTTTCTCCTTTATCAGAACAGACCAGCCCGATACTACCTCGCCCGTGCTCGCCGACGGTCAAACTCCAAACTCGCCGATACCATCGCCACGCCGACCGAAATTCGTGGCATTCCGCTTTCGTTCCGCTTGCGTCTCCAGGCCGCGCGGCGATATTGTTTTCCTCACTTTTCGTTCCTCACTGTCAGAGGTTCGACGTTCGACCAAGGTTCGCATGATAATAACTCGATTTCACGTGGACTTCAACGGAACCGCTCTTTTATAAGTTTCCACTCGAATCCTTCTTCTTCTTCTTCTTCTGCTCTGTGTACTCTGCGTTGTTTAGTTCCAGTATAGGATTAGAAATTGTTTTCTTTGAGACGGTATGTGAGATGTTCTTTTCGTTTTCAAAAACACGGTACTGATTCGTAGAACGTTGCGCTGATTTGTTAGTGGAAACGAGCTGCTCCTAATCCTGTTGGGAGCATGCAGTCTGTCCAGTCTGTCCGTTCTCCTTTGTTTGCTTATTTCCTTACTTATTACTTTCGTTTGAGAGGAAAGCACAATTGTATCGGCGTAATTCTCACGCGATAATGACCAACGGTGACAGAGTGCATGTTAATAAGGATAAGCAATGGACAGCGGGAGAGATAATCCCTCCTCGCTCTGGATTACCACGTACAAAGATTCCCCTTGATGTCATCGTCTAAACGAATCTCAATTAGCCGTTCTTTCAGTTCTAAATGAATAGAATAACAAAAGATTTCGCGTAACGCTAATATCGCTAAAAACGAAAAGAAAAAGAAGTATGAATGCGTATCGAATGACAGGAGAATGAATAATACCACTTCGGATCGCGGAATTAATTAAACCGCGTATCTCGTTAACGAACTTATTAATCTGTCGCGTTTCTTTGTCTCGTCGTTTAGAAACTTTATTACACGGTAACGGCGGTGTGACGACGGGGGCCAGTTTAAATAATAGCTGGCCTTCTCGGCGCGAAATCTAATTAGGCGGCGACCCGGCCGCCACTGTCGTCGGAGGTCGTCGCCGACGAATTTCCAAAGATAAAAAGTATTGTTTCGGCCGTAAACCGAGCAGAGGAGAGGGATTCTTTTTCGTTCTGTCGCTTGGTTCTCGGCGTGCGTCGGGACAAAAGCTAAAGTTTGCACGGTGGAACGGAGCCGCGGCGGAGAACGCGGAGAGGCTGGGCTCATTGTTTCCACCCCCGTTGTCACCGCACGAAAGCGGAAGTCGCGGAAGCGCGACGGAGGAACGAGCCCGGTGTCACCGAGACGTTTACACGGTGTATTTATAACAGACTGAAAAGTATAGCACCACTCAGATACGGAGGAGGAAACCCGCCGCGGATAGAAGCCGCTCATTGTGTCGTTGCCGCGAATTTTCGGAAGCCTCGGACCGCCGGCCATTGTTCCACGGTTAATCGCGCGCTGTTAGCGTGATTGCGCTTTTCCTTGGAGAGAGTACGCGGATTTGCGAGGTAACCACCAGCGGCAGGTTTCTTCTTTTGTGTGCTCGTTACGCTCGCAGCATCAGATATTAGCCGGGCGATGGAACGAAAAGATTCTACTTTGTTCTCCACTTTGTTCGCCGGGTTAATTCCCCCACTGTCTCTCTCCGCAGCCAGACGCGATGGACTTTCGATGCACATTTCAATCTCTTCACGACGACTTTACATTCGTACGAGATTTATTTTACAAAATAATGCCACGGATTATTGTAAAAACTGGGAATTTAGTACGACTGCAGTTCCGAGACTATGGATTTTTCTTTCTTTTTTTTTTTTTTTTTTTCTTTTTGCTAGCGTGATGTCTGATTTGCACGTGAGTGTTTCACTGAATTAAAATTGACGCAGTCATTGGCTGCGTTTTGGATAATTACCCGAGAGATACTCGTCTGCTCGTCCTCGGGCATATATTCTACTATAGATCTTTTTTTAATTATTAAATATTTGACGAATAGGAATCTTGCAAACGTCTGACTCATGCATCGTTTTAGGACACTAAAATTTGTAAAAATATCCCGCTTCGCTTACTGAGAATTTATCGTACCGTTTCAGCTGTACGAATGTTTATACGCAACGTCTGATTTATATATGCTTATGCTACTGAACTGTCTTTGAACAAATATTTTCACCAACATTTTCATTTGTGAAAATGAACTGCTACAGTTCTATTTATTCAGTAAGAAATGTTTGCGAAGTGTACGAATGTTTACACGCGACGTCTAACGTGCACGTGCTTCTACCATTGAACGAATCCTCAATCGCCTTTGAACACTCATGTTTTATCCACGTCCATGACCAGTCTTTATCCGTAGAAACGCTGCTTCCGGTTCTTTTATTTAGTTCTTTATTTATTGCAGCGTTTGAAGTTTACGAATCTTCATACGCGACGTCTGACGTACACGTGCTCGTACTACTGAACGTGTATCAGCTATCTTTGCATCGTCACGTTCGGTACTCTATACCCGCAAAAATATCGCACCGTATTTTGCAATGGCGCGTCGACGAGAGAGCCTGGATCAATGGTCTTCTTATCTGTTCAAACAGAAATAAATATCTCGAACTGTCAATTAAGGGATAAACATCGACGCTTGTACGGTCGGGGTTTACCTTAATATATCGTCTTGTTTCGCGGCGCCTTGCACATACCTACCAAGGGATCGTACACGCACTTAGACAATCGTCGTTCCGGACTAGTGGGACAAGGGCATTAATGCAGGTGGTGTAAATTAGCGCATCAAAGCCCAGCACTATACTACCACGTCGCCCAGTGATTATTGATGCGAGCCAACCATTGGCCACTAACTACCCATTGATTAGCTGAAGGTTTCCGCGTAATTAATGGAACATTCTCCAGCACCAATGGCTCCGATCGATCGCTTACAATTTCTGTCTTCGCGACAATTTTCCATATTTCACCTTTCTTTTCGCTCGCACTAATGAAAAATCTCCTTATTTTTCTTCGCGTTTGCCACTGTGAGGCCGCGTGTTACGAAGACAGAAGGATTCTACGTTCCTCAAAATTTTAAGCATGCGTTTCTCAGACCCCAGTATCGAAGCGATTGCGATAATTATCCAAAATTCTCTCTCTCTCTCTCTCTCTGTCGAGAACATTAAACACGTAGCCCCAAAAACCGTCGATTACAAGTGATTTAAGTGCAAAATCGGGTTTACAACGGGCGTAGGAGGAGCGAGGTTGGGGGTCCGCTTCGCCGGCGGCCGAAGTAATTTAATTTCATCGGCCGGCGATGACCGCAGGAGTCGCCAAACATCGAATGCCTCCCGTCGTATTTCCAGGCGGCGCTGTTTCGACGCGGTTAATCGCGGTCTCGATCATCGTGAATCGCGCGCGTACATTCGAAACACGACGCGGCGCGGTGACGAGGCCCGATCGATTCGTTTCTTGTACGTTGCTTATGGTTCGCCGTTTACGATTCCGCAGAGAAGAAAAAATAAGAAAAAGAAAGAAAAAAAAAAAGGAAAGAAAGAAACAGAGTATTCGACGCGTCGAGTACAGTGAAATTGGCGCTTTAACGACGAAGCTAGCCACAGAGTCCCCTCCTCTGTTCGCTGGTAACTTGATTTCGCGTTCCACCAGGCGTTGAGTTTCCGATTTTCGAAACACCGACGCGGACTGCTTTAGAAGTCTAACGCTGGAGGCATGCACAGGAGTGCAATGTAATAATTTTCCGTTTAATTTCACCATATCGATGCGCACGTCTCTCCAATTAGCTCCCGCGTTTCCGTTCGTTTCTCGCTTGTCGCCGGCGCTTTTCGCATTCCACACGCTATATCCAGGCCAGCACGTGAATTAATCATTCGGATTAAATCGATCATTTGGATAGTTGTAGTTCGATGGCTGCATTTCTATGCATATTTCAGCGGCGCTTCGACGTTGCACGTAACGAGATTATAAAAATTGTAAGGAGAAAGTTGCTTATGGATCAAGGACCGACTCGAATTAACCTGAATCGGGTCACTGACTTCGATCCTATAGCTCGTCACTTCACCCCTGAGATCGATATAATTATTTCCGCTCGTTGAAACTATGCCTAACTATTTACACAAGCAGCCCCCTACATGCATACTAATCGCGCTTCTTACACGGAAAAAAAAAGTTTCGCAACTCTAACTTTGTTAATTTTTGATTCAGATACGAGTGTTAATTAACATCGGAGCGAATCCAATTCTTGTAAAAATCTTCCTAAAGAATGTTATAATACAAAGTATGTCTTTTTCTTCGTTTTCGAAGAACAAGTTCTTTCTCTAAGCTCTTAGAGCTTCCATCAGAGATATTCAAGTAAAAAGAATAGTTTATTTAAAGATATTAAAGTAAAAAAGAACAGTGAAACTTAAAAATGCAATAAAGTACCATATATTTCACAAGAAATCAGTCGAATCTCTGATCTATATCTATAAAATCATAAATTGGTTATTTTGACCATATTGGTAATTCCAAGCGTTTCTTTTCGAAATAGTTCCAAAGCGTCACAGTCTAGTTAATTATCTCCAGCGAGGTTGTTCTTTCAAACGAATCACGTGTGAAGCACGTGCATGTTTCACGCCCGAGGAAAAGAAGAAATTGCCATTTTCAAAAGGCAATTCATCACTTCGGGTCACATCCCTTGTCTATTCTATACAGAGTATAGTATTGTTTCCATTCTCGGGAATATTTCGTGAAATATTGGATATACTTATAAAGTGTTCGAATACGACCGATGACTCTACTTGCGAGGCACTCGACTTTCCATCTCCAGTGTTCCGTGGATCCTGTCTCTGTTTCCCTCGTCGGCGCGTATCGCGCTTGAAAACCTGCGCGCCACCAAAGTCGAGTGGCGAGTCAATAACCTCGAGCTTCCGGTCGACGGTGCACTTGAAGGGCTGTCGTTCGAACCGACAACTCTGCTCCTCGTGGCGCACGACGTTATCGTTCTCCGGACATTTAGCGCCGGTCAACGATACACGCTCGTCGAGTGAGGCTGCGTGTTTCCGGTCGTCTGCTGCGCTGATTGCTTTCCAAGTCGGCGGAAGTGGACGTACGAGAAGTGGGGAATTACCGCGCGGATAAAGCTGCCATCTCGCTCGGTCGATTTTCTCCTTGCCTTTAATTGTGATAAAGAACAGCGCGATGAAGAGTTCTACTTTCGAAGGATTTCACTTCTCACCTGCTGATGCGCTATCGTCGGCTATCGACGTTCAATTTGTTACTTTAAATCTCTCTCGACTCTTCGACTCTACCACAGCTCTCAAATTTCTTTCGTTAAGTGCTTTTTGATTATTAGGGCTATCCATAAGTAATGTCGTTTTCTTCAAATTTAATAGACATTGCCATCTAGTCTGACAATAATTTAACTTATTATAACATAACTTAATATTAACTCTTGAATAAAATAAAATTTTGTACGGTATCAAGAAACGACATTGGGGTGCCAGTAAGAAGTTTTTCGTGATATTCTTTACGACGTTAGAAAAGATCGACAGAACGTTAGCGTATAGAATTTTTTACAGAAAATTTCGATAGAATCTTTCCATTCGAAGGAATCGCGCAGAAAGAACAACTTTCGCGATACTTTTGAAAAAGAGACTTCGCGAGGAATGGAAATGCATCGGTAGTCAAATCGGCTCTCGTCAAATCGACGAGAAAAGTCTGAGAGCAACCATATTTAACGATCGGAACGTTTACTTTCACTAGCGGAGCGTCGCCAAGATTACCGATCGACTTTAATCTCCGTGACTGATATTGCGCGCGGCAGTTAATTAACTGGTCTCACGGTGCAAATCCTTTAATATAGTCTGGAAGCGCGATCAGGCTGCCGATACACGGAACATTGTTCTGTTTTCTGGTCCGTGAGGAACGCTATAATTAGTTGACTATCTCCGGTCAGTCGTTTCATTGCTTGTTCAGTTGCCGTGCAAACAGCGGCGAAACAATCTCTGGTGTTCTACGCGATTTAATGACCGAGCCCGGCCGCAATTCCCGCGATTATAATCTACGCTGCACCAGAGCCTGCCGCCGCACAGCTCCATTTGGTCAAGATACATTTTCCACGATTCCGCCCTCTAGCTCGCGCGATCCTCCTCGTCGGGGAATAATTTTTACCGAACGTCTCTGCAAGGGAAAATCTGCTGCTTGCCCGCCATGCGAGCGTACGCGGCATTTGGATTTGCTCTTCTCCAACCCTCCCGTTCCGTTCGAGGAATATTTAACGATCTAGATTTGCGGCTGGCCGCAACCTTTGACTTTCATCCTTATTTTCCAAATACCGGCTCTCTCTCTCTCTCTCTCTCTCTCTCGTTAATTTTGAAACACAGCCACGAGAGGCATTTTATACTTTATATACGCACACTGCTGTCTGTGAATGTTTGAAAAGTTAGTCGGTGGGAAATTTTCGTTATATTTTTAAAACGAATACTTGATACTTCTTAGTTGAAATATCTGGGCGTGAGCGACACACAGATTGAAACTCATATTGACACTTTATGAAATTTGTAGAAACTTTTAGAGTGGCGC